AGCAGGCTTCAAGTACATTTTTTCCCACATGGCATTCCTCACAGCTCCACTAAAAAAGGTACATACTAAGCGCATTATAGATCAATGGAAATGTTTTTTTCCTACTTTAAATGTGTGACGAATCATTGTCATCAATTTATTTTGACTATGTATTTTAATACATTTTTGTTTAGTTGGTTGGTTTATTTTGGAAACAGACCCGGTTGTTCTCAGGGCTTATTCCTGGCTCTGCACTAGGGAATTACTCTTGGTGGGGCTCAGAGGACTCTATGGGGTGCCAGGAATTGAATCCTAGACACCTGCCTGCAAGGCAAATGCCCTACCTTTTGTACTATCTCTTTTAAGACATTTTGTAAAGCATCAGACAACATTAACAGGAAAAACGTCATCTCTTTTAACAGTTGTTCCTCTTTACCTAATACTACCTATAGGGGATTCCTAGTGATTTTATGTTAAACACATTCTTTATATAATACCTAATTACATTCACAGCTCTTTGTACAGTCAGTTTTTGATTATCTATAGTCATGGTAGAAGGAATAGTGTGGAAAATTGAAAAATCTAATTTGCATCAACGGCCTTCCTTTTGCATCCACCAAATCTTTTGCCAAACATGGTAATGAGTGTAGCACAGTCGGTAGAGGTGCATATGTGTGAAATGGCAAAAATTCATAGTGCCAGATGAAGAGAAAGTGAAAGCACTGAATTAAACACATCTGGGTTACAGATTATTCTAGAACTGACTGTATTTAAGATGGAAATTTAGTGTTTATGATAAATGAGGGCTTCTCTTGTTTCACTCATGCAAAATAAGTGGTTTGTATACACGCTACTATATGAGGTGTTCTGGATTGATCATATTTCCCAAGATATCACATTCACTGTCTTGCATTCTAGGCATTTTTCACTACTAACATGAAAACATGCTGAAAATAAGGTGATAAGGCCATAAATAAACTTCACCCACCCCTCGTTTTCTTAGTTTGGATTATCCATAAGCTCTGTGAGCATCTGCTTTTATGTTCTGATAACAAAGATGTTTAGAGCCTATATATTATAGTCTTAATCTTATAGGACAGTTATGAGACAATTGAGACAATGTATTATTTCTGCAGAACTTTACACCAAACGACAGTGTTTTCCTCAGTGGAGTTGTTAAGTTAAATTGGAACTTTAAGGTTGATCTGGAAGCATCTGGAGATGATACTTAGGATAATTATTACACTTCTTATATTACTGATACATATAAAAATTTTTAATTTACCACTTGATTTCAATTATATATAAATTTGGGGACTATAGCTCTATACCTCTTTCTTTCTATAAGCTTCACTGCAAATACAAGGTTCTAAAATCACTCCCATAATCAGATTGACCCCTCAATAATATAGGGTTTTTTTTCTTGGCAAAGGGATTGTCAGGATCAAACCAAGGATGTCACACATGCAAGGGAAGTGCTCTCCACTGAGCTATGCCCCCAATTTCTATCATATAGTTTTCATAGTTATCATTGGTTGAGGTGGAAGAGACCTTAAGAGGTTTTGTAGGCTATATATTTTTTTGGTACGCTTTTATTTATTTATTTTGGTTTCTTTGTTTATTCGTCAAGGTTCTCCAGATTGCCAACCAATAGAATGGTCTTAATTACTATGCTTTTGCTGAACATGCTCTTTCTCCTCATCTTAAAATCTAGAAAATCACCTCCTTTTATTTCTAAAAGCTTGTGGGAGAGGCCAAGTGGTACTCTGCTTCAATGAAAATCCTAAATGAAGAAAAAATGTGCATGATCTAAATGGTGAGGATTGAATGTCAGAGAAAGAAATGGTTTTGCTTAATGCAAAATTGAGTTTCTTAGATTTGTCAGTTGTCCATGATTGAAACTTGAATTGATAAGCATCTTAAAAAGGAGTAATAAATGACAAGGATGCACATACAAGAGTAGTCCTTCAGCATCAATGGTAACAAGTGTGTACTAAAGGGACGTCAGTTAAGTTTCTTGCAGTAAGGATGCAAAAGGAATTACAATATGTTTTAATTTATAAAACATAAATGTAGAAAAGGAGTTGGAGCGATAGCACAGCGGTAGGGCGTTTGCCTTGCACACAGCCAACATGGCCGACCCGAGTTCGATTCCTCCGCCCCTCTCGGAGAGCCTGGCAAGCTACCGAAAGTATGTCGCCCACATGGCAGAGCCTGGCAAGCTCCCCGTGACGTATTTGATATGCCAAACACATTAACAACAAAGCCTCCAATGGAGACGTTACTGGGCCCACTCGAGCAAATCGACGAACAACGGGAGGGCCTCGAGCAAATGTAGAAAAAATGTTTCTTTAGTTTTTCACTGTGCACAAATAACTGATTAAAACTAATCCTTTAGTTAAAAACTTCTACACACCTCTGTGTATGTTCTTCATTGGATAAATGAAGAATGATTTGTTTTTTAATCTTTAATGCTTGGGTTTAAGACTATAATCTGTCATAGCATAGGAATGAAACTCCTTGGTTAATAATGTTATATCTAAAAGGAGCAACACCAGATGGTATACATTTCACTGATTTCCCAATAACTAGAATATTGCAAAATATATTTACACTCTTAAGTTTCCTGAATTGAAGTGGCAACTTGATTAAGTGTAACATGGAAGAAGAGGGGAGGGACAGAAGGAAATGAATCTAAAAGGTGTTTTTAATAGATTATCAATTATTATTATAACATATGAGTTTTACAGATAGTTATTGCAATAACTAGATTCAGATCTAGAAACTAAATAATAACCCAGATCCATATTCACAAATCCAGAAACTAAAATTTACATAAAAATTTCAAATTTGACCAAAAAAATGCCACTATTAAGCGTTAAAACCTGATGCCAGCTCCCAGAGTCATTTCCACTATGCCATGCTGCTTTCAAGTTCCCTGTGTTGGCTCAATTCTGGTATTGCTGCTTACATAGAATACAGGGTTAGTGCCAGCATTAGCGAGGCAGCAGGTTCTAAAAGGTAAGGAGACTCTCTGAACTAGAAAAGTCACAGTCTGAGTCTTACTTTCCAGAGCTGTACCACAGGGCTACTTTACAGCATCTCTTGATGACTATGCTGTCTTTTGTCGAGAAACAGAGGAGCTGCAGATACATGCTAGAAATGTTTCCTGCTTCCAGGACTTGGAGAGTTTGAGTTGAGTGGAACACAGACTAATGGAGGGTTTGCCCTGGGTATTACATTGTGCGCTGTGAGTTTCAAAGGAAACGGTGGGCGGGCAGCTTTTGTCATAGTCCCAGTCATCATAGTTCCATCACCCATCACCCTAGTTCCATTCTCATAGTCCTGCTAGTTCTTCTCTCTTTCCCCTTACAGCACAGATATAGAAATCAGGAAGGTGGGGGTACACATAGGTGGGGTTGAACAACAAGCAGAGGTAAAGGTACTCACTCCGTCAGGGGAAGTTCTAGGAAATTAACTCAAGGACAAAATCTCATCTGAGGGTTCAGCACTCCAGATTACTAGGAGATCCCCTCAAGGGCGGGATTCCATCTAGGGTGTATTGCTTTCTCCTTTCCTCAGCTAGTAATCCATTGAAACAACCACAGTAAATTTACTTCTTATAGTGTTTCTAGTCATTTTGTATGAACACAGTAAGGGATATATTAAGCATAAAGGTTGGGTCTTCCTGAGAATATCTCACTGTATATCCCAGACTATAGTCTTCAGTCCAGGTTAGTTTTTCCTAACCCCAGCAGGGTCCTCATTCACTTACTTCTTTTTGGGTCATGACAGAGTTTGTTCATGACCATGCTCTTATTATACTTCTTATGGCACTTATCCCCTTTTGATGCCAGGGTAGCTTACAGCTTGCCCTGGGTCCATCCAGTCCCTTTGTCAGGACCCTCCTTTTGGGGGTGTTAGGAAGTAAAAGGCAACTGAGGCTTAAGTCAAGTAAATATGATGGATGCCAAGGAGTAAATATTATTTGGAATCCATTAACTCCCATGTTACCAAAAGCATGGCATCAATTGTCTTCCTGTGCTTATACAAAAAGGACATAGGTAAACCATATAAATGACATAAAAGGAAGAGAAAAGCAATATAGGATTATTAGTCCTTGATGAAACTGCGTGTGCCTCAGGGGCACTGTTGTGGGAGTAACTCAATAAACCTAAGCTCCTTGTGGGAGGAACTAGGATAAACCAATGTTACCCAACAGTGCGCAATGGAAGTTTCTATGAGTTCTAGGCCACTTGGCTCTATGAAACTTCTGTTTGTAAAGGTGAATTTACACCTTTGTAAACTTGGACAGGCTGGAGCGATAGCACAGTGGGTAGGGCACTTGCCTTCCACGAGGCCGACCCGGCTTCGATTCTTCCAAACCTCTCGGAGAACCCGGCAAGCTCCGAGAGTATCCTGCCCACATGGCAGAGCCTGGCAAGCTTCCTGTGGCATATTCGATATGCCCAAAACAGTAACAACAAGTCTCACAATGGGAGGCATTACTGGTGCCCGCTCGAGCAAATCGATGAACAATGGGAGGACAGTGCTACAGTGCTCCAGTCAAACTTGGAAGACAGCTGGGGAGGCTGTGCTTGACCGGGAGTGTGGCGAGCTACTCAGCTCCTGAAAGGGGGTGAAGAGATGCTCTAGCACATTCCATCAGGGGTCTGCGGGAAATGGCAAAGAGGGCCCTATTTGTTATATTTATTGGGGATATTATTATTTGTTTGATGACGTGCGGGAGAAGGGCCAGAGCCATAATCTATTGATCATTTAGTTTTATGAAGTTCTCAAATGGGTGATCTGCTATTTTTCTGACAGAGAGGCTATGGTCCCTGAGCACCAGTAATAAGATTGTCATGTCATTTTCTTCTCATTGGTCTTTTTATGGCTTTTTATCATCTCTTTGTTGATAGCACCTCTTCCCAGCACCACCTGCCCCTCCCCCTTACTTCTGTCTTTAAATTTGGGGGACCCCTTAGGGCCGTGTTTAGGAGCAGTTTGATTCAGTTCACCTGCCTGGCACTTTGAAGAAAGTCCTCCTTCTCGCTCTCCTTGTTTCTTCCTGTGAAAGAGCCTGCTGTAACGTCTTCCGAGTAAATACTGGGCTGTAACTTGCCGAGAAATAGGTCAGAGCAGCCGAGACCAAATGTCCATTTGCAGCGACAGTGTGAGCAGATGGACGACAGTGAGGCGGTTCTCTTTGTGGGTCTGGCTTTTCTGTAAACTCATCCAGAATCTCCCGGGACCCATGCTTCATCAGTCGTTCTGAGAAGCCTGAGCACCTTGGAGTGTGCGTGCGTGCATGTGCATGTGCGTGTGTGTGTGTGTGTGTGTGTGTGTGTGTGTGTGTGTGGTGCTGGGGGCGGAAACTAGCTCTTCCACATTCAAGGCATGTGCTCTTCCACCGAACCACATTTCCAGCACTTGGAGAGTTTTAGAGCTTGTTGTTCTTGTCCACATCTGATAATGCTCAGGGGTCACACCTCGGGTTGCACTCAGGAATTACTCCTGGCAGTGTTCTGGGGACCATATGACATCTGGGGATCGAACCGGGAGATCACTTGCACCCTCCAGATTATCTTTCTGGTCCATTGTGAGTCTTGAACATCAAGGACAATGTCTCCGAATCAGAGAGTCCAAGGTCATTATTCTCCTCTCTGTAACCATATAGAGAATGAAGGTCATGAGCTATATTTTTTTCTTGCCCATATCATTTAGAATACACTAAAGAATACAAGATCTCCTGGGGAAACACTGCTAACAGTTTGAATCTCACTGGTGACACATGATGGGGCATACCCACCACCACCACCAGACGATCACCAGTGACTGCATAAAAGATGGAAATCCCTTATCCTCTCATGCCACACAATCCGGACAATGAGACAGTTCCAAGGTATTCAAAGGTTAACCGTGACCTTGCTCCCAAAGAGCAAAGTCAGGAAAAAGAAGCTGTTAAACCAGAGTATGCCTTCAAAGGAGAGACCAGAACTCGTGCAGAGACAGCAGGAAGAGCCCAGGGAGCCAGACCCCGGACCCTAAAGAGTTAAGTGCTGAGTGACTATGGCAGGCTGGTGTTATGGAGGGGGAACAACTGCCTGATGGTTTTCACCCGGACTGTTGAGCAAAGCTTCATTATGAATGGGGGGGAATGCGCACAGTAAAGGTATGATCGTATTGCCCGCTGCCATGCCAATTACTGGATATTAATGGCAGGATGGCATGCATATGCCGTAGCTGGGAAGCAGAAGGTTAATAGACGAACAGCACCAGAAGAGCCCATTTATCAGTTTCTATTTATCTCTCCTTGGGAGGTGGCAGGTTTACAGTAAATACCTTCTGTCCTCCTAATTTCCTAATGATGGGGATAATGATGGAGAATGGTGAAGTCATTAACTGGGACAGGCTCTGTGCATCACTCTGTCAGCCACATCTCCCCAAGACCTGCAACGAGAAGTGATGGGCCCCAGCTGTTCCCCAGGCCCGGAGCCCCTCCTCCCATCCGCCTCCCCCGAAACTGCAGGCTCAGGAAATGTTTCCCCAAGTGAAGACGATGGAAACCGGGGTGAGGAGAGAAGCCTAGACAAGAGAGAGCCTGGCTTCTGTAAGGAGCCTAGAGGAACTTAATGGCGTGGGTGAGGACCGTTTCTCCACTGACCGTTTCTCCAAAGTTAGATAATGAAACAGCAGTTGGATTGAGTGTGTGGGTATGAGGGAGGTAGAGACAGAATTTCACTAAACTAGGAAACATTTCAAACATATAGTTCTTTTTTGTTTTTTAACCTCATCTATAGATGCACTGGAGGTACTTGAGGAAAATGCCTCCCCCCCATCCTTCCCCTTCCAAGATAATTTTTTAAAAAATTAAAGCAGACTAAACTGGTTTAGGTGGATTAACTTGGTTGTACTTTTATTTTCTAATGATCATGAGATTTTTCTACTGATCATGAGATTGGTATTCTATCTCATTCTTGTTCATAGAGTTCTACAACTTTTTACTCACTAAAAGGATCTTGAATTTACTTCCCTCGTTCATAGAGCCTAAACCTTTATGAACTTCTTCTCATATCTTTATTTAGGTAACCCATTGCTTACTTCTAGATTTTTTTTTAATCTATTAGTTTTTTAAGCTGTTCTTTTACCTGTATGTGCTAGGATTATGTTGCTAGGAAATGATAAAGAACTGTTTAGACTAGTAATAGCAAAATGTTGAAAGTATATTTGAATTACATATCGGAATTTCAGGATTAGAAATATAGTTGGTCCTTAAGAACAGATGAGAAAATTTATGCAAACACATTTAGGGATCTCTGTTTTTCTCCATGCTGTTTTTTCTTCTTCATTTAATTATTCTCCTTCTATAAACTAATTTTCTTTTCTCCTCAGAACATAGAGAATATAGCCTTATATTTTTCATATTTGTATATTTCAGGTCCAGATTGTGAAGATAAAAACGATCAACCCCCCCTCTCTAATCTTATCTAATCTAATCTTAGATTACCTCTTTGTTGGCGCTGGACTGTGTATTTGGAATAATAAATGATTATTAAAATGGAAAATTACTATAAACACTGTTAGCCAAAATAAATTACAAATGGTACTAAAATAACATTTGAGAAAGTCTAGCACAAAGCACTAAATAAGAAAAATTATTAGTTTCCTTATTTTTATTATTTTCTACTGATTGTATGGAAAGTGAATCAGCTTCAGAAAGCTAGGAGAATAAGAAGAATATGAACATTATAAAGGTAAAAAGTAATAAAATTGACAGAAAATGGTATTAAATCAGGAGGTTAGATTGCCTTAAGTTTATCATCATTCTGAATCGCTACTCATTTATCACTTAACAGAGGGAAAGTAGTGTTTCCAGTGACTTCATGATGGCTCTGTAGAGTAAAAGATGAAATAAACTTGTGGAAAAAAAGCTATATCTGGCTAATTAAAATCTCCCTATAAAAATTTACTTTCTAGTACCAGACCTATTTTCTTAACTCACATGTGAAATTATCTTTAAAAAAAAATACTTAAGACCTCATAGTAGTGCTGAAGAATGGAATTTTAATCTATTTGGGGGATTAAGCAGTTTTACCTTATAGTACACTTGTAGTTTAATTGCATGCTTTGTAATTGACCTATAAAGGCCAGAGCGTATTTATTTGGTGGATTTGTTCCCCTTAGTCTCTGGTTGTTCTTACAGATGAGTTTCATTTAAATACATGACAAAACAAACAAAACCCCACAAAACCCCACAAAGCTCATTCCTAGAGTTTGTCCCTGTCCTTCATCTACCTAAGGGATTCTTCACTCTGGAAGAAACGAAGGCAATCAGAGTTGCCTGAGACTTCTTTTCAGAGTCCTGTTGTGCTTTGAGCTCCCTTTAATTGAAACATGAACATTTGCTAGTGTAGAGTGATTCCTGCTTCTTCTATCCTCCACCAAAGACCCTTTATCTAAGTTCCGGGTTCAGGACTAGGACCTCTATATGACAACTACAATATCTGAAGTAAAGGCTGCTAAGGGTGTGGGGTCTGAATTATTCTACCTGCTCGGATTTCAGACCCAGGCTAACATTTATCAGCATTTATCATCTTAGTGATAGAGGGGATAATACAATATATTACTGTATTCCACCCATTTCTTTTAGAAATAAAGGACTTTTTCATCCAGAAGTTCTCTTGCTTGGAAACTCTCAGAAATGATGACTTAGAAAAAATGCACATGCTTGAGTAGAAAGACTGGACACCCCACCATCAGGCTATGTGACAGACTGAAGCAGGGCTCAGACATCAGTCAGGGGATAAGTAGTAGGTAAGGTACAGAGCTGAAAGGAAGAGGTGCCATAATGAACAAGGACTTCTGAAGTGATGGAGATAATAGAATTGCAAACAACAGAGCTGTGGTGTGTAATGATCTGAAGTTGCAAGAGCAAAAGTAGTGCAATAAACTTTCAAAGGCATGTACACGGGTCAACGAGGAAATCACTTGTATCACTTGTCATCCCCTTTGTTTTCGATTTGCTTGAGCGGGCACCAGTAACACATGACAGGGATGGATGGAGATGTTACTGGTGCCCGCTCAATGAGGAAATAAGCTTAGCTCTATTTTTCACTTGGAATTATGGGAAAATATGTGTTATTTATAGGGTCAAGAGATATTTTTGACAAAATTTTGATGCCTGGCTTCGTCTTGGAGCTAGTGAAAACCATTGATGCCATTGATGACTGTAAATCCCTTAGGTTATTCTGGAGTTGGTTTCCTAGAACTGTAGCTCTTCGAGGTGAGAGAAGTTGAGGATAACAGGCAAAGCGTGCCTAAGTAGCCCATCACTGATCTGTCTAGCCTGTCCCGGATATTGGCACTGCTTCCCTTGTCATCTCGGATCACTTCTCTGCATTTTTTAAAAAAAGATTTTATTATTGAATCACTGTGAAATAGATCTTTACAAAGCTATTCATAATTTGGTTTCCCTCGTACAGTGTTCCAACACCCATCAAATGGGGCAGTGAAATGAACAGAAACTTTCTCAAAGAAGAAATTCAAATGGCCAAAAGGCGCATGAAAAATGCTCTTCATCACTAATCATCAGGGAGATTCAGATCAAAACAACAATGAGATATCTTCTCACACCAGAGACTGGCCCACATCCAAAAGGACAGAAGCAACCGCTGTCCCTGTGCGGAGGAAGGGACTCTCTTTCATTGTTGTTGGGAGTCTTGACTGATCCAGCTTTTTTGGAAAACAATAGGAAGTTTTCTCAAAAAACTAGAAATTGAACTCCCATTTGACCTAGCAATACTACTTCTGGGAATATATGCCAAGGGTGCAAAAAAGCACAGTAGAAATGACACCTGCACCTGTATAGTCAGCACTGTTTACAATAGCCAGAATCTGGAAGCAACCTGAGTGCCCGAGAACTTTTTTATTATAAAATATAAACTCATTCCTTCTGAAAGAAAGAGAAAATATTTTTTTCTTGAAGCACAGAATTTCTAACAGATCTGGGCTTAAGAAGTGACACTGTTCTTCTATTAGGATTCGCCAGAAAAGCGTTTTAATTCTGGACACAAATTTTGTTCCTAAAATTCTCAGCTATGAGCAGTTTTGAGGAAAGATTCAGTCCTGAACATCTCATATGAAGACATGGGCATCCGAATCTTACATGAGGTTGTTGTGCTTTCGTTTTGGCATTCGGTAACTTTTGCTGCTGATTATGTATGTTCTCAGCTGGTCCATTTCTACCTGCAGCAAAAATGAATC